CCGGCGCGGCCCGGGAGCCCCCGGGAGCCGAGACTGGCCTTAGAGCCGGCAGTGGTGGTGCTAAGCCGTCGGGGCGACCCCTCCCTGGGCAGCCCCTGGACACCGCCGCGTGGGGCCAGAACGTTGGTTTTGTTTGTCCCTTTGGTTGAGATAAAATAAAGCGAAGGGACCGAGGGGCAGCGCAGGGGTCCGGACGGTCACCTGGCACACGGCCGACCCGGGTTCGATCCCCAGCGTCCCCTAGGGTCCCCCGAGCACCGCCAGGCGTGGTTCCCGAGTGCAGAGCCAGGAGGAACCCCCGAGCACCCCTCGATGTGACCCCAAAAGCAAAATAAATAAATAAATAAAAGACGCAAAGTGACTAAGGACAAAATTGGTCCTCGGCCTGCTGGAAAGTCTCACCTTCGGGGCCGGAGATAGCTCCGGGATGCAGGCATTTGCCTGCAGGAGGGATGTGCTTCCTGTGCTCCAGCCCCTGCAGCCCCCCAAAGAACGCTGATGAGTAAGGCTCAGTGTTGGCCAGGGAGAGGCGCCCAGCTTCGGAAGCTTCTGGAGCCTGGGAGCTGACTCCACCACCGCTGCCAGGTGAGGCTCTGCTAGCACCGCTCACCAGCCCACTGCACTGCTGCTCGCTCAAAATTTCAAGGTCGACTGAAATTTGTTTTGTCTTTTTAGAAATGTTGTTTTCTTTGTGAATTTTTTCAATCCTAGTGAAATACACGGAGTTGATCATGATTGTTGGATTTCAGTCATATCATGTCCCAACACCTGTCCCTTCACCAGTGTACATCGCTCACCATGAATCTTCCCGGTCTCCCTACTCCCCCAGGCAGGCAAGGCACTTCTCTCTCCCTCCTCCTTTCTGCAGTGCTCTCTCTCTCCTCCCTCTCTCCCTCTTTTCTGTCTCCCCCTCTCTCTGACACACGCCTTTCGGTTTACAATACAGATATGGAAAGGTTATTATGTGTATCTCTTTACCTACTTTCAACACCCAGTTCCCGTCCAAAGTGATTTCCAACCATTTCCAAGCATTATTGCCAGACTGGTCCCTACTCTGTCCCCAATGCTTGTGGGAGCTTCCAACCATTGACCAGTCCTCCTGGCCTCCATTTTCCTAGCCTTGGATATCAATCCCCTGTATATCTGTGTGTGTGTGTGTGTGTGTGTGTGTGTGTGTGTGTGTGTGTATTATGGGCTGGAGCAATAGCACAGTGGGTAGGGTGTTTGCTTGCACGCAGCCAACATGGCCGACCCAAGTTCGATTCCTCTGCCCCTCTCGGAGAGCCCGGCAAGCTACGGAGAGTATCTCGCTCGCACGTAAAGCCTGGCAAGCTACCCGTGGCATTTTCGATATGCCCAACGCAGTAACAAGAAGTCTCACTATGGAGACGTTACTGGGCCCGCTCGAGCAAATCGATGAACAACAGGAGCACCGTGACCATACATATTATATTCCACGAAATGGGTGCTTGTATTTGTCAAGGGAGTTGGGAACCATATCCAGCAGTGCTGAGGCTCCTCCTAACTGCGCAGGCATCACTCCTGGAGGGGATGCTGGGGACCATAGGAAGTGCCAGGGAAAAGACTCTGGGTTTGCTGCTTGCTAGGCATCAGCCTTGCCCCAGGGCTCTCTCTCCAATCTACAGTTTACTGACTTACAACCTAGTATTACAGAATATTCACAGTACGATGTAATATTTGGATATCCTGCAAAGTAACCATGATTCACGTATAGACCGTTTGAATTCCCTACCATAGATTCTAAAGTCAAGGACTGCTATTGGGGCTTATGTAGGCTAAAAGTAACGTTCTTGCTCAAGCTCTTTTTCAGGAAAAATCAACCTGAGGACACGTGTGCTTCAAACGTACAGGAGTTGGTGCTTATAAACATCGTTGGTTCTGTTAATTTTGGGTTAATAATATAGCAACTTCCAGTTTCTTTCCCAGACTTTATGGATTGATGGTGTCTGTACTGCATGGTGTCCCTTTATTTTCGTCTTGTCAAATAGCTATGGAGAATCACTGAGGGTATTCATTTTAGGCTACATTGGTTAGGAAGCTTTGCAATAATGCAATAAAGGTTTTATTTGTTTTGGGTTTTTTTTTGCCATTAAACCTCACCCAGTGGTTCTATTATTTTTCATCTTTTATAATTTTATTTATTGAATCACCATGAGAGCAGTTACGAAGCTTTCGGGTTTAAATCTTGGTTATAAAATGAAAGACCCGTACCTTCACCAGTGCCATTCTCCACCACCCAAAACCCCAGTATGCCCCCATCCCACACCCTCCCCCTACCTGTGGAGAGATGATTTTCACATTACACTCTCTCTACTTTGATCACATTCAATATTTTGACACTGGACCCACCATTATTATTTGGGATTTTACCCCAACACACAGAGCTGCTGAAAAGGCAACAGTAGACAATTTGTTTTCTATTCCTGGTTATGAATAACATATGATGTCGCGTGGTTGTAGTAGTGGCTGCGCGATTTTGAAATTCCAAAATTTTAACAATTAAATCTGGAGGGATTTCTTGCCAAAACCTGCTGGGTTCCAAGATTTGTTCCTGAGTCTGTGGGATCATGGCCGTTAAGCAGATTGATCGGGAGCCAGAAAGGCCATTAGGGGGCGGTGACTAGGGGTCTTGCTGGGATGGGGAGGAAAGGGCTGGTCCCACCCCCATCCCGTGAGGCCCCACATGTCTCATCACTGAGGGCCCAAACCTGACTGTCCAATGGCCTCTGGAGGATGGCGGCCACCGAGCCGCCAAGGGGGAGCAGGTGGAGGGACAGCACCCTTTCCTCCCTGGAATGGCCCAGCGACAGTAACCTACTGCAGGGTCCAGATGCATTTCTGCCAAAAGCCACTGGATTCCGAGATTTGTGTCTGAGTCTCTGGGATCATAGTCATTCAGCACCTTAATCAGGACCCAGAGAGGCTGTTCATGGGCGGCGACTTGATGTCACGTTGAGACGGGGAGGAAAAGGCTGGCTCCACCCCCATCCCATGAGGTCCCCCTTGTCTCATCACTGAGGGCCCAAACCTGACTGTCCAATGGCCTCTGGAGGATGGCGGCCACCGAGCCGCCAAGGGGGAGCAGGTGGAGGGACAGCACCCTTTCCTCCCTGGAATGGCCCAGCGACAGTAAACTACTGCAGGGTCCAGATGCATTTCTGCCAAAAGCCACTGGATTCCGAGATTTGTGTCTAAGTCTCTGGGATCATGGCCGTTAAACAGCTTGATCAGAAGCCAGAGAGGCCGTTTGTGGGTGACAACTTGGGGTCTTTTTGTTTAGGAAAGGGCTAGCTCCACCCCCATCCCATGAGGCCCTACGTGTCTCGTCACTGTGGGCCCAAACCTGACTGTCCACTGGCCTCTGGCGGATGGTGGCCAATGAGCCACCACGGGAGAGCAGGCGGAGGGAGAGCACCCTTTCCCCCCCGGGGTGGCCCGGCAACAGTAACCTATTGTGCGATCTGGACGCATTTCTGCCAAAAGTTGCTGAGTTTCGAGATTTGTTTCTGCGTCTCTGAGATCATGGCCGTAAAACAGCTCGATCAGAAGCCAGAGAGGCCGTTTGTGGGTGACGACTTGGGGGTCTTGTTGGGGAGAAAAGGGCCAGCTCCACCCCCATCCCATGAGGCTCTACGTGTCTTGTCACTTTGGGCCCAAACCTGATTGTCCTGTGGCCTCTGGAGGATGGCGACCAGTGGGCTGCCAGGGAGAACAGGCCAGGGCACGAAATCTATTCCCACCTGGGGTGGCCCAGCGCCTCTAACCTACTGCAGGGACTGGACACATCTCTGCCAAAAAACATTGGGTTTTGAGATTTGTTTCTGAGTCTCTGGGATCATGGCTGTTAAGCAGTTCAATCAGGAACCAGAGAGGCCATGTCTCCAATTATATAGCTGAACTGGAGGTGGTTTGTGGGTATATCTCCCACATATCTTTTACCTGTTTACTTTCTTGGTCAACTCTGCCTCAAGTTTTTGGGGTCTGGCCAAACGCACGGCAGCAATTTGGGGGTACCTGGAAGTCTGAAGGCGCCATCAGGCTGCTGATGCTCTCGCCTCACAGGTACAGACTGACCTGCTGGTGGCACCATACCCCCAACCCAGTGCTTCTTAGGGTTTACTCCTGCCTCTGCACTTAGAGATTGCTCCTGCCAGGACACAGATGACTGGATGGGATTCCTGCCATTGAACCCAGATCAGCCACATGCAAGTACCCTACTCACTGCACTATCTCTTTAGCCCAAGATAAACGCTTTTAAGAAAATGGTTTACAGGCCCAGAGCAATAGGGCAGCTGGTAGGGCATTTGCTTTGGCCAATCTGGCTTCAATCCCTGTAATTCCATATAGTCTGCCCAAGCACTGTCAGGAGTGATTCCTGAGTGCAGAGCCATGAATAAGCCCTAAGACATCACCAGGGGTGGCACAAACATAAAGAAACAAAAAGAAATTGGTGTATCAGAATTCCATTGTAGAAACTGTTTGACTCATTTGACTCTATAGTTCTTCACTGCTAGCCAAAAATCTTTTCTAAAGAAACCTGAGAATAATCAGTTATCACTGGCAAAAAATAAATAATTTTATTAAAGTAGATATAGAACACTTGCTTGCTCAAATTTTAATACTGCTTTACATAGTTTGTGAAACAATTTCAATAATGGTCATTACTAAAAATTTCAATGGATCCAGATCTTTCACTTGTCAGACAGCTGATAATCTCCAGAGGAAAATACATCAAAATCATACATATAATTATAGAAGTTCTTATTATACATGTAGCCTGGATGGTACATTATCACTTTTGACAGAACTAGAAAACATTCAAATAAAGAAAAATAGATTGAAACTGGATGATAAACTTCTGATGGTTGAGGTCCTTCATTCAATCTTTCTGTGGTAAGAAAATCCAAAATTAGTAATGTTGAATTTCTCATCATACATTCATCTAAAACCACAGTGAAAAATGTAAACCTCGTAAAGACAGTAAAATGGTTATTCTAGGTGTTTCACAAATAGCTGGTTATGTCATCCTTCAAGTGCTGGTGATTGCTGCACAGTGCAGAGAATGGGGTGGCCGGGCCGAAGTTGTCGTCGTAATTGTTGAGTCGTCCCCGTTCCCGTCGAGAGCCACCTCGGATATCATCTCCACTTTCATCTTGAGGTCCTGATTCTTTCTTTGGAGGTCCACGATCACGGAATTCAGGAAATCGATCTGTGTTAAAGGAGAGCGTGAGACGGTGAGCCATCTGCGGGAGCCATCGGAGCCCGCCACAGAGGAGGCTGGGCCCCGCTTCCAGTCCCCGCCCCAGGGTTGGAGGCAGCCAGAGCTCCCCTTTCCCTTCCTGAGCGCAAGCTCCCGGGTGCCCCAGGGAAGACCCCAGGAGGACATGCTGGGCCCCCTCGGTTCCTCTCAGAGCAGGGAGTCAAGAGGGCCTTCCCTCTCCTACAAAGACAGACTCACTTCTTTAAAATCCACGGGGCGGGGGGGGGGGAATCCCACTTTACAAAGGTAAGCATGACTATAGGCACAAACATTCATGTTTCACTTAAAAACTGGCAGGTTTGGGTCTGAGTGATAGCACAGCGGGAAAGGTGCTTGCCTCGCACGCAGCCAACCCAGGTTTGATCCCTGGCATCCCATAGGGGCCACTGGAGAGCAGCCAGGAGTGATTCCTGAGTGCAGAGCCAGGAGGAAGCCCGGAGTATCGCCAGGTGTGGCCCCCAAAGAAAGAAGAAAGAAAACCATAAAGCTGACTGATTCTTTTTCTCCCTCGGGGCAAGTTCTGATGAGGAGTCTCTGAGAGTGCCCAGGCCCTCCCACACTGGAGCCAAGAAACACAGATCTCTCTTCCTCCAGGTGAAGAAAACAAACACAAAAAAACATGGAAATGTTCAGTTCCCAACAAGCCCATGCAGGGTCCACCTCCACAGCCCACATGCAAAGTTCACTTCAGCCCACATGTGCTGTCCAGGACAACGGCTGTTAAGTACAGAAGTGCAGGAAGTGAGGGTGTGCGGGAACTCCACAGGGCACTGGGACCCAGATGGTCCCCTTCCTTGGAGAGGATTCAAATTATAAAGTGTTGCAGGCCAGGTGGGATGGAAGGGGGTTTGGGAAGGAGAGACATCAAGGAGGCCCCAAGGCTGACTCCTGCCGCAGGCCAGACGCAAGCCTGGTGATGGTAGGTGCGGGCACTGGGGTCTGCAGCCAAGTGTGCACACCCCAGAAGACCCCACCCAGCTGTCTCCCTCGACAGGAGCAAGAAGCAGGAAGGCGGCCCAGAGGACCAGACTCCCCAGCTCTGCGCCCAGAGCATGCACAACGTGGCCGGGACAGCCACATGTTGGTGGACGTTTCCGTTTGCGACCGGACCTTCCTGATGGGAAGGAGGCCCTCCAAAGTGGTGTTCGACTCTGGCAAAGTGAAGATTTGCCAATTTTATGGGAGCCCGAAGCCCAGGTTCTGGGAGAGCAGCAGGAGTAAGGGCTGTGGAGGGGTCTGGCTTCTCGGCTCTGGCAAGGACGTGACCCCTTGACTGAAGGGATGTGTCCTTGTCCATGGGGCCTTTCACTCCGTAAGCATCACCTCTTGTGCTGGGAGCATGTGGGGATGGGGTTCCGGCAGCGTGTGCCCAGCCCCTGGTTCTCACGCGCGCCAGGTGAGCACCGCCCCTTCTTCCTCAGCTTCCTTCTTTTTGGCTTCTTTTATTGTGATTAATCAATTCATTTGGGGGGGGGGGGCTTTTGGGTTACAACCCATCGTTGCTCAGGAGTGACTCCTGGCTCTGCACTCAGGGACCATATGGGATGCCGGAGATGGAACCTGGCTTGGCCACGTGCAAGGCAAACACCCTACCTGCTGTGCTGTAGCTCCGGCCCCACTCTCGGATATTTTAAATGGTAGGTATTCCCCGACTCTTTTGAAGCATACACGCATATATACATATGTACATGTCTGTGTATGTATACATGCTCATCTATAACCTTTGTGGGTCGTCAGTTTGGTTTGTTTGGTGCGGTGGGGACTATGCCCTGGCTCTGTGCTCAGGGATCACTCCTGGCGAGGGAGGAGCAGCCCAGGCCGTCAGCAGTCACTCGAGCCCGGGAAAGTGGGGCTGTGTGGTCAGAGGGCACTGGCTCGCCTTCTCACGGTCATCAAAGAGCCTTGAAATGCTGCGTATGTCAACACATGTGGCTTCTCTTCCTGTCCCGGCCCAGGCTCTGGGCGAGCTAACTGGGGCGTCCAGTCCCTGCCGGGCTCCTTGCTCCGCCGAGCAGTCTGGGAGTGGTCAGCTGTTCAGTGATCTCGCCAGGCCGCCCCATGTCCCCCAGATTCTGTGTGGTCACTCCGCGCAGCACCTCCCCAGGGGTCATACAGGGGTCATGCAGGGGTACACTTCCCCTCCTGTCCCATGCGAGAACCAGGGACCAATTACTCCTGGCAGTGCTCAGGGGACCAGATAGGATGCCGGGGATTGAACCTGGGTCTGGCGTGTGTAAGTCAAACGCCCTCCCCGCTGTGCTATCGCTCTGGCCCAGGATATAGTTTCTCTCAAGGCTGAGGCCGGGCCTACACGCCCTGGTCACCACCATCACCCACCTCATTCTGCAAGTTTGCATTGGTGTTCCTGGTGTCCTCCAGGGAGGCCAGGGTCTCTGTCTTCTCCTGGGACAGTTGCTGCATAAAATGCCTGGCATCTTCCGCTGTCTGCACAGCCTGGAGAGAGAAACCTCGTTGAGCCAGGCCGGGGGGGGGGGGGGGCAGGGAGGGGTTGGCAACAGTGGCACAACACAGCGCGAAATGCCCCACAAACCACCCACACCTGCCACAGTGGCTCCGGCCCCGCTGGCCGCCGGTTCATCCTGCGGGGACTCACGTCTGAGCCGCTCAGCAGCAAGACTGACACCCAGAAACAGCCCAGGGCTCCCAAGAGCCTCCATTCCTCACACAGAATAAAAATGACATGAGCGGACAGCTAAGCAGGCCTGGGTGGAAAGCGTGGGGGCGGGGGGGAAGGAGAGGAGATGTGAGCAGTGAGCACAGGTGTGGGAATGGGAGAAAGGTAAACCCTGAGTGAGGTGGGAAGAGAGAACACCTGCCCGGCACCAGGCACCCTCGAGTCCAGGCTGCCCTGCACCGGGCACACTGCTGGTGGCACAGGGCACCCCCGAGTCCCAAGTGAGCAGACTCAGGGCAACCGCTCAAAGTCCCCCCGGAAGACAATGCTTTGCTTTACAACTTAGTGCCTCTCTCATGCCTTCCCTTACGTCTTGAAGAGCCACAGTGCAATCTTCCGTGAGAACTCCCCCCGGAAATGAACATACTGTCCTTTCTCGGTTTTATTCACAGCTTATGCCTTGTCCTAGAGGTCACCAGGCACGTGGTGACGAGCTGTCCCTGCGCCCGCAGCAAACAGCCCGTGACACACGGGTTCCGTGGGGGTGCACCTCTCCTTGTGCCGACAAAGAGCAATCCTCTTAACCGCTAAAAGGGGGTGCCCGGGGCCAACGGGGGTCGGGCCTGCTCCACTTTACCGTAAAAGACTGCAGCGTCTTGAGCTCTCTGATCTTGAAGGTGAGCCTGATCTTGTCCTTCTTCAGCATGCGGTTCTCCTTCTGGGCCTCCAGGAGGTTGGCCGAGACGTGGCTGCTGGTCTGGGCCAGCCGACTGACCTCCTTCTGGAGGAGGAAGTAACTGCCGGCCAGCTGCTCCTTCTCCCGCAGGCGCTCCTCCTGCCGCTCGGCGTCAAGCGCCTCCTTGGCCTGCAGCACGCTGGCGTGTGTCTTCTCCAGGCTGCGGGCTGCGTCCCTGGCCTCCTGCAGCGCCGCCTCGAGGGCGCCCTGGCTGGCCGCCAGCCCCTGGAGCTCCTGCTGCAGCACCTCCAGCTCGGCCTTGTGCACGGTCTTGGTGGCCTCGTCCAGCTGCGTGCGCAGGCAGCTGGCCTCGGTGCCCAGCAGCTCCTTGGCCTGTAGCGCCGCCTCCAGGCTGGCGCCCAGCTTCTCCTGCTCCTGGCGCAGCAGGTCCTTCTCGAGCTGCAGCTCCTTGTTCCTCTGAGCCAGGCCGTCACGCTCCAGCTTCAGGGCCACGCACAGGCTGTCGAGCTCCAACTGCTTCTCGAGGGCCGACTCTTTCTCGGCCGTGAGCTCCTCGATCTCTTGCACCAGCGACTTCTGATCCCAAGCCAGCTCATGATAGGAGCACTGCAGCTTCTGGATGATGTTGTCCTTGTCCTTGGCCAGGGATAGGTTCTCCAGAACCAGCTTCTTGACATGCTCCTCCAGCTGGCCCCTCTCCTCCAGGCCCTTCTTACACTCAGCCACCAGGCTGCTCTTGCTCATCTGCAGCTCCTCCACCAGGGCCTGCAGCCCCACCTTGGCGACCTGCAGGGCGTCGTTCTCCGCGCCCACCCTCTGGAGCTCCTCCTGCACCGCCCTGGCTTCTTCCAGCACTTTCTCTTTCTCCGCCTCGAGGGCTTCTCGGCCGAGCTGCTCCTCCTGCCAGAGCTTCTCTGCGGCCCGCCTGGCCTCGATGACCTTCTCCTTGTCGCAGCGTATGGCTTGGTTCAACAGCCAGAGTTTCCTCTGCTCTTCCCGCAGCGAAGAGTTTTTGGCCTCCGCTTCCTTCAACTTCAATAGCAATGACTCTCTCTCTGACTTCAGAGAGAGCTTCTCCTTCGCCAGCAATTGATTCTCTGACCTCAGGGCCCTGAGATCCTCCGACATCAGCTCAATTTCCTCTGATGTTATTAGGGAAGTTAATGACTACAGAAACAAAAGCGGGGAAGAACGGAAACAAGAATGAGATCAAGCAGGCACAAGCAAGCCAAGCACTTAATGTGGCCTAAACACCAGAAATGAAAATGGCAGAGTAGTCTTACCTGCACACGCGTGCATACGTGCATGCACACACAAGCACACAAACACGTGCGCGCACACAAACGCACACACACGCACACACACACACACTCGCAGGATGGAGAGGCTCAAACACAGTTAACTTCACAGGGTCAACATATCTACCTGCCTATTTTGTGGATGGGGGCCCCACACCTGGTGGTGTTCGGGTCTCGCTCAGGGTTCTGTGCTCAGGGATCACTGCTGGCAGGGCCGGAGGACCATACGGGATGCTGGGGATCAACCCGGGTTGGCCAAGTACAAGGCAGCACTACCCATTCTACTATCAGCCATTTTATTTTTGAAATGCCGTCTGAAATTATTCCTGACAGCTCCCCGGAAGTTTTAAGTACAGTTGGATCTTGACATTGGGGCATAAGATTTTTCCCCCCACTTCAATTATTCCATTACAAAATCCATCACTCTGTCATAGAAGGGATGCATTAAAAAACTAGTTTCCAGTACAATTCAAAGAACTACAAAAAGTATTTTGTTGTTGAACTTTGTGCAGGAGGGGAAGGGAAAAGCAACCATTGCTTGCAAAACGATTTTCACAGGGACAAACAGAGACAGGAAATGGACTTAGTCCCAAAAGTTTTACACTTTATAGAAAATCCAGACTAATCCACCAAGCTTTGGAGACTGAAGCCAACAGGTTTTGCTTGCCAAACACAGTAACAACAAGTCTCAAAATGGAGACATTAGTGGGCCCGCTCGAGCAAATCGATGAACAATGGGAGGGCAGTGTTTGCAGAAATTTGGGAGGGGCCCAGGGGCTCCAGGAGGAGTGGCCGCACACGGGCCAGAGTCTCCCTCACCTGCTCTCCCTGCCCGTCAGCAACGGGTTGTGCGTCTTCGTTTCTGAGTCTCAATGCACACCATAGTTTAACCGCCATGTACTTTCCAGAACTTTCTGCAGCAAGGGCTATCTTCTCTGTCCAGCTCAGCAGCCATGAGCCGCAGCAGGCTACTGGCGTGCGCTGGGCAGCTGACCGCTGACGGTCAGGTTACTGGAATGGGACTGACCTGAGCATGCACACGAGGCTGCTGGCCACAGAACTGGGCCGTGCAGGTGGTCCAGAGAGGAGACGTAGCCCTGGCTCTGGTGCGTGGTGGAAAGAGGCCGGGCACCAACACACACGCGGGCCATGGCCGCCGCTCAGCAGCCCTGGTTTCCTCTGATGTAAGCTCGGTTCCGTTTTCTTTCCACTGGCTTATAGATATGTATACACACACATATACATACAAGCACATATATGTATAGGCATACACATATATGTATAAACTATACATGGGACCAAGCGTGTAAAACTGAAAATGTATCAAAATATGTACATATGAATTAAAATACACTTATTATATGGATATAAAGATGTACACATATGTACATGTTATGTATGTACACACATATATGTGTGTGTACATTATTTTCCTTCTTGTTTTGGGGTTCACACCCGGCAGAGGTCACGGCTTCCTCCTGGGTGCTTGGGGGACCATGGGGGATGCTGGGGATCCCCCGGTGGGTCACGTGCACAGCAAGTGCCCTCTCACTGCGCTAGTTCCAGCCGCTTTATTTCTCCCCACTGAGCTTCGAACCTTAACATTTCTTTGATACATGAAAAAATGCCTTTGAGCAGTCAAGTGAAAACACGAAGGCCTGAACTTACTGAGCAAGCTAAAAACAAAACAGACAACCCAAGCTGGGGTCCCTGGGCTTCTATGTGCTCTGCCGGGCACCCCGGGAGCAACCCCCTTCTGGCTCTCACAGGCGCCGACGGACGGAGGAAGTGTCTGAGGCTGCAGGCCGAGGCCCCCAACAGAGCCCGACCCCGAGACGGCGGCCCTGCGCCCACACACCTTGGCCTTGTCGGCTTGCGTCTTCAGCTCGGCCACCTCCCGCAGCAGGCTCCCGTTCTCCGCCTGCACCGCCTGCAGCTTCTCCTCCGCCTGCAGCAGCAGCTTCTGCAGGGCCTGCAGCGCCTCCTCGTGCTGCGCCTGGCTCTCCGTGGTGGACTTGGCGTGCTCGGCCTGCAGAGCCTGGGACTGGCTGCGGCTCACGTCCACTTTCTCCCCCTGCGGGGAGCCGGGGGCCACCATCAGCTGTGGGCCCCCTGCCTGCCCCCAGCACACACGCGCGCACACACACACACAACGCATACAGTGCACACAAACACACAAACACACAAACATACCCGCACACACACGGCGACTCTGCTCACCAGCACATACACACACACAATGTGAGCCTCAGAGGCGATAGGGCCGAGCTCGCCTGAGGAGGCTTCGCTTTGCCCTCAGCAATGTAAAGATCAGCGTCCGACTCCCCTGGTACTCACCAAACTCCGAAGCTCTTTCTCCAAAGCCTCCTTCACTCGACTGACTTCGTTCAAGTTCTCCTGAAGACTACGAAGCGCTAGCTCCTTCCCCTGCAGCTCCTCGGCCAGGCTCTCGGCCTACCAGAGAGACAAGGATGGAGTGAATGGACCAAGCGGACGAACAGGAACAGGAAGGGGAAAACAAAACAGAAAGCACGTATGAGAAGCCCATGACCCAACACAACCCCGAAAAACAGAGGCGTGAGGTGAGTGCGATTGCCTGAAGTTCTCAAAGCCAAGGCCTTGGCGCCGTCAGTTCTGGTGATGACTGTCTAGTGGTTACTGAAAACGGCTCAAACAGAGGCGTTTTCTAGACCTACATTTGGAGTGACCAGAAAATAAGAAAGCCTATGAGAAAGACTGACTTTCCAGGGGCGGGGAGACGGCACAAAGGGCTGGAGTACACACCAGGCCCGAGTTGGAACTGCAGCACCACTGGGCGAGCCTGAGATCGGTCCACAAGCTGAAAGACCCACTACTGCTGGGCGGGAGGACCCCAGAGCCGAGAGCATGGCTTGGCGAGGAAGAAGGACGTAAGCAAGGGAGGAGGGAGGCTAAGGATACGAAGGAGGGAGGGAGGAAACAGGGAAGAAAGGGAAAGGGAGGGAAGGGAGGGAAGAAAATGTTATCTTTTTTTTTTTTTTGGCCCGCTTGAGCTAATTGATGAACAAAGGGAGGACAGTGACAATGACAGTGACCCTATGGGATGCTGGAGATCGAACTCACGTAGGCCGTGTGCAAGGCAAATGCCCTTCCCACTGTACTATCACTCTGGCCCCCAAGATTTACTTTCTTGTAGTTTCTTGTCTGTGACTTTAAAAGTTTGAGGGGTTTCAATATGAAATTTAAATTGAAGAACCTCTAATCCACTAGACAGCAGAACGTGACGTTTGTTACACCTTGATGCGAACAAGTGGTTCAACTATGCCCTGCTGTGTCCTAGGAATTGATTCTGTTTGTTTCTGGAATGTCAGCTAAGGAGTCCTGAGTCCTGAGAGGAACTCCCGGGGGTCTCTGGGTCCTTCTGTTATGTCTGTCAGTCCTGTCTACAAATCCCACAGCCCTTCCATCTTGGCCAACAGAGAAGTTTCTTCAACAAAGCGCACAGCGCCATGGGGGTCGGTGGGGGGCGGCTGGGAGGGTGCGTCCTGCCACCACAATCCTATAGGAGTTAAAGGGCATTTTTCCAAGGGGCTCCTGGGTGAGAACTGCAGCTTCCTCGGCTTGGCCCAGATCTCACTGTCTTGTCCTTCCCCAGGGTCAGGGCTACCATGAGAGTCCATGTCCGTGGCCAGCAGGAGGCCATGCTGGAAGGCGGACTTGGCCCAAGCACCCCTTAGAGGCTGAAAGGGATGAAATCTCTGCAGGGCTGGGCAGGGGCTTGTGCTGCAGGCAGGGAGGGGCCGGCAATGAGAAATACCAAGATGGGCCACGTCACCAGCCCTGAGGGAGCTCAGAGGCTCAGAGGCATTGAGCACCAGCTGGAAACTGAGGCGCCTCGGGGAGAGGTTGGCAAAGCCAGTCACACGAGCAGGTGGTCAGCAAGGTCAGGGAAAGAACCCTGCGGCCAGACTTGAGCCCAAGGGTCTGGGCGGACTCGGCGAGTACGCAGGGGGCCTAAGGGGGGGGCAGAGGTTTGCTTTGGGGGCTCCTATCTTGTTTTCTCACTGGCCTTGTGAAGAGTTCTCAGTTTCAGAAAGACCCCAGACGGGCCCGATTAGCCGGGGCCAAGGCTTGCACGGCATCTGGGTGCTGGGGACCAATGACAGTCCCAGAATCGTGCCGACACGTTCTCAGTCCCATCAGAGGGAACCGCACGGGACGTGACCGGGAGACCTGTCAGCACCAAGCCGGAACACGGCGGCGAGCAGACAGACACACAGCATGCAGGGAGCGAGCGTGGAAGTGGGCGAGGGCACCCGGGTACCAACCTGCCACTCTCGGCCCGCTTTGCATTCTCTAACTCCTGAATCTGCTGCTCAGCCACCTGGAGCTGCTGCCTGAGCTTCTCCATTCCCAATTGACCTCGGAACTGGCCTTTCGGAGCCCATCGAGCTGCAAGAGCTTCTGCTGGGTGGCCTCCAGCTGCGCCGTGGCGTCGGCCAGGGCCTGGGCTTGCTGCCTACACATGGCCCGCAACCCCTCCAGGTGCGTTACCTTCGTCTCCGCCTCCTGCAGCTTGTTCAGGGCGTCCTCCATCTCCACCAGGTGCTGGTCCTCGGTCTGGTCGAGCTTGGCCCGCGCGGCCTCCAGGCTGTTCTTCTGCTCCTGGGCTGTCCTGACCAGCCGCGACCTGAGCGTCTGCAGCTCAAAGGCGTGCGCTGCACGCTCAGCCACCTGCTGGGCCTTCGAGTTCTCTACCTCCTGCTGGTACTCGAACTGCAGCCTCTCCATCTGCATCTTGAGCTCGGCCAGCTCGGCCGCCTCGGCGCCCACGCCCCGGCTCACGGACGCCTTCGGCTCGCCCATGGCCTGTTGGTGCGGGGCGATGGCCGTCTCCAGCTTGGACTTCCACGGGGCGATCACGTCTGTGTTCTCCTCGTTGGCATGGTCCAGCTTAGTTCTCAGCCCCTCGTTCTCCTTGGCGAGCTTCTCGGAGGCCGCCTGCAGGGCCTTCACCTCCTTCTGGTGGGAAAACAAAATTTCCATGAACTTAAAACAGGAAGGAAAAGAAGCAGAAATAGAAATTATTCTTTTGCAAACTGACTGTTTGCTTTTTCTTGTTTTAAGGAATACCTTCCAATAAACTGGGGTTCTAAAGGATTTGATTTGTGCTGCTCGACTGAAAATCAAAGCTGAGGCAAAGGCGTAGACCCAACTGTCAGAACGAGAGGAAAACGCTCATCAACAGCAGCCTCCGGCCCCAAGGAGCAGAGGTGCCTCCGCCGGGCCCTGCCAGGTGCATGACCCCTGGTATCCCTGTCTGATTCGGAGTCTCCAGCAGAAGTGGTCCCGGCGGGGTCGGCCAGGCCACCCCGCATCCTTGCCTGCACCCTGCAAGCCTCTGGGACCTGCCCGGGCTTTACCTCCAGGTCGCCCTTGGTGATGGACTCCTCTTCGACTCGGAACTGGAGGTCCTCCACTTTCCTGTGGGGGAGAGGGAGAGTTGTGAGGGGCGTCACTGCTGCCCCCCTTGAGGGCCACCATCCTGTAGATGCACGCCTGACCCAGCCCCCGCCTCCACACACAGGAGGGCTGAGAGAGTCAGCGAGGGCCAGAGCGAGAGTACAGCGGGCAGGGCATTTGTCTTGGCACGTGGCCGTCCCGGGTTCAATTCCCAGCATCCCATTATGGTCCCCTGGGCAATGCCAGGAGTAATTCCTGAGTGCCGAGGCAGGGAGCATCGCTGGATTGACCCAAAAAGAAAAAAAACAAAGTCAGCGAGTCCCCTCGGCTGTGAGCACTGGGTGGTACCCGCAGGCTACAGGAGGAAGCTCTGTCGAGCCAATGCCAGGCGCACTGTCATATCAGCCTTTTCTGCCTCGCAGCTAACAGAGGTGGTTAGAGACTGACCAGGTGCGCGTGCCAGTCCCTCCCAGCCAGCGCCTGTCCCCGCATCGGGACAACAACTGAGCCCCTGGGGGAGAAGCAGCAAATGACTCGGGGCCAGGGCGGGGGGGCAGGAGGGGCTCCCAGGGGACGTGGCGAGTTCGGCATGTGGAGCTGAGGGGCTGAGCCGGGCACTGGCAGTGCCCCTGGGCACCACACTGCCGGGAGCCCATCTGAGAAGACCGTCTTGGCCGGCACCCCGTGTCCGTCTGTCTGCAGCCTGGCCTGAGCCCTGCCTGTCTGCTGCCGTGCCCCATGGGTGCTGCGGGTTTCCTCCCGCCCAGGATTAACCCCAGGGACTCCCACAGGGCCCCACTGGGATACGACAGTTCCCGGCCACCCAGCACAGGTCTCCTGAACACCAGGCCACGTGGACACAGTAGGGAGGGCCGGGGGTGGCTGGGCTCCAGTGAGCTCCCCCCATCCCCCCCCAATGAGGCCACTCTCAGGACTGGGCACCCGCTAGTTTGTGGTTCTCACAGCCCTGGAAGGCCAGGAGCACCCCACCCGAGGCAGCCCCCCAGCTCCTGGCACGGCCTCACCTCTTCTCCTCCTCCAGCTGGTTCAGCAGCTCCACCTTCTCCCAGTCGGTCGCTTCCAGCATGGCCCGCAGCTCGTCCATCTTGGCCTCCAGCTCCAGGACGTGCTGTGGAGGCAACTGCGCGTGAGTGTCCTCGCCCGCCCCCGACAGCCCTCTGTGGGCTGGCACCGCCACCTGCCACCGCGGCATGCTGAACACGTCTCCCACCTAAGCTGCAGCGTTTCTGGAAGGCCGGGGGGGAACCACACCACGAAAGCACCAGCGGGGATAACTCGGCGCTCCCTGAACCCCCACGGGGTGAGCAGAAGGTACATGCGATCAAACCACGCGCCGGATGCCACCGCAACGACGGCAGACGGGGACCCACGGCCTCTCCCTGCACCGCCTGCACCAAGGTCGCGCCCAGCATTTGCCGCAAGCGTCTCTTGGCCCCGGCACTGCCGTCTGCACAGACGTCACCTGGTCGTGCCCGTCCCAGCCAGGGCCAGCTCCTGCTCTATCTCCCCCACATGGCTCGTGGCCTTGGCCACCTCCACCCGCTCCAGGTCTCGCTCGGCCAGCAGCTGCTCAATGTGCTGCTGCTTCTCCTTCAGCGCCTCCTGGAGGGCGGTTGTGCTGGAGATCTTGCAGGCATAGCGAGAGGAGGTTTCTGGCAACTGCAAAGGAAAAAGAGACGTGAAGGGGGTGGGGGTGGCGGACGCGGGCATGCACACGGCTATCCTCAGCAAAGCAGATGGAGCAGCGCTGCATCCGTGCATATGGGCCAGCGACTCTCAGCAGAAGCGTCTTGAAACCTTCCCGAAGGTCCTTGGACGGGACCTGGGCTCCACTGACCTCGGGCCTCGTGGGAATCCAGAGACTCTTCTGCAGAGCCGGAGGCAGCCCCCTCCACAGCCCGCTCTGGCCTGAGCTTCCTTAAGGCTGAGCCCTTGGCATGAGCTTGAGGCCGGCTCCAGCATCTTCAGCCTTGCAGGTCCGTCAGGGTCTCCCAGGGCAGCCTGGCCCTTCTCTCTTCCTCTTCCTTTCAGCTCACCTCGCTCTCCCCAGCACACGCCCCAGGCCTGAATAGCAGTAACCAGAGACTCTTGTCTCTGGGAATGGCCCCGTGCCCCTGAGGGTCACTGGGTGTGACCCCATAAAAGACCCCTGTGCCATCTGCCTTCGAAAGGGGGGATGAGAGGCTAGAATGGTAAAGTTGCGGGGAAGGCGCTGGCCTTGCACGCCGCTGCCCGAACTGGATCCCAGGTACCCACCCCATAGGGTCCCGAGCCCACCAGGAGTGAGTCCTGAGTGCAGAGCCCGGAGGAAGTCCTGAGCATTGCTGGGGTGTGGGCCAAAATCCAGGAAAAAAAGGAACAAGTGGTGGGTGAGCATGTGTGAGGGTTCACGCCCAGCGAGCAGGACAGCAAGGGCAGCTCAGGGGAAGACCAAGCACAAAGGGAAGGAGAGAAGAGGCAAAGACAGTGAGGAGGGGAGGGGAGTGGGCTGGAGGGCCGCGGGGACCGGGGGTCCTGTCCGTTCTGTCCTGGGCTCGTGGTCACTCATGGTCGCTCTGCAGACCAGTTTCCTTGCGGCACAATGGCCCCTGCAGGCGGGGACACAGCGGGACCTGGTCTTCATTCTTCAGGCACACGGTGGCGGGCGCTGGGGCGGGGGTGGCCGAGGACGTCCGCTCCTTCTGCCCGGCCACGCCTGACCCATCGCCCTGCTCTTGCCGCTTCCCTGCATCATCTGAGCTGCTGCCAATTGCCTGCTGACTGACGGGCCCAGCAGGGCCCAGGCTGTCCACTGCTGCTTTGCCTGCTGCGAACTCTCGAGCTACCTGGTTCTGTCCGGGGAGCGGGTCATCCTTGCCTCTGCGTAAGGATCTGGCCGTGACTCCCCAATACACTTAAAGTATATTGGTCAGATTAAATGCTCTCCCCAGGGCCAAAGAGATTTCTTTTTTGGGGGGTGGAAGGTGCTTTCAGAGGTTCAAGATCCAGCACTGTCAGGAGTGACCCCAAGAGCAGAGAGCCAGGAATAAGCCCTGAGCACCCCTGAGTGTGGCCCCAAAACCAAATAATAAATAAATAAAATTTCTAGGAGCACACGAGCTCTCCGGCCCAGCCATGTGCAGTGCTGCCGGGAACTGCAGTCAACTCTGATTTCAAGGGGTGGCTGGGAAGAGCTTGACAGCCTTGGGGGTCTCCACCAAGACCTGGGCTCAAACCCCCTCCACCGGGAGCAGCCCCCAAGCACCACGCCTGGAGTCCCTGAGCACTGCCAGGTGAGCCCCAAAACCAAAGAGCAAAAATAAACTAGGAAAGGTGGGCGGCGGTGTTCCCCGAGCCTCCTGGCCTGAGCGGGTGGGGCCGGCTGGACGCACGCGCTTCCTGGGCCCGAGACAGCTCCCTGAGGAAACGAGCACGGGAGCGAACGGCTTCTTTCAGCCAACCGTGGAGACCAGACTGCGAGGTTCAGGCGCCGGAGCAGGGAGAAAGCAGCACCCCTGGTATGGGGGGAGGCGGTGCTGAGGGGCTGGGCAAGGTCGGGGCCACGAGCTGAACTCAGGATGTTGATGCCAAAGCCTCTGCCCTGCGCATGGTGTGTGAGGCCCCAGGCTCCATGCCAGCAAGGCCGGACCCTCTGTGGGAGCCTGGTACCTCAGAAGAGCAACTCAGCCAACACGCGAACCGGGAGGCTCCCCCAGGGCACGCACGGACCTGTGTGCATGTATGTATGCGTGCACGTACGTTCCTGTGGGCATGTCTACACACACCTGTGTGCGTGCGCGCGTTCTGTCTATGCAGGTATGTGCCTGTGTGTATACACCCATCAGCCTGTGTATATACGGTATGCACTACGTGTACATGTATGAGTGCCTGTGTGTGTGTGAACGCTTGTGTGTGCACGTATGGAATTACGTTGTGGAGGTATACTTCCATGAAGCCACACAGACTCATTCTATATTCCTGTCATATGTGCTAACGGTGATGTGCAGTGTAGGAGAGAGCTCCACCCTGCGTAAAGATATGCAAGGCAGGGGCCAAAGAGCTGGAGAGCGAAGCCCCAGCGCTGCCCAGGCTCAATCCCGGAGGCCCGCCAGGAATAATCCCGAGCACAGAGGCGGGAGAAAGCCCTGGGCTCTGCCAGGTGTGACCCCAGAACAGAACAAAGCAAGACAGCGGGGGGAGGCTGGAGATACGGCTCAGGCGTGGGGCTCTTGCTCGGATGTGGGAGGCCCCGGCTCAACCCCCGCACTGCAAACGGCCCCTTCAAGCACTGCAGGGTGTGGCCCACAGTCAAGCAGAGAAACAAAACCAAATTCCACAAATGGGCTGGCTCGCGAGGGAAGGAGAGGGGCTTCTGAGTCTGCTCCCCTCCTAAATGGCGAGGCGAGGGGAAGGAGGAGTCGGAAGTGAGGATGGAGGCAGGGCAGGGAAACCTGGTGGTGGTCGAGCAAGACAGGACTGGCCCCAGGCCTGTGCCCACGGCGCGCGGCCTCCTGGCTCCCGTTTCCGTGTCACCTGTTTTGTATCTTCCGTTGCACACACACTCACTCCCTCCTCTTCCGCATCGAGGGTCAATGCAGGGAGCAGAGGGGGCGGCAGGAAGCGCAGCCCCCAGCAAAGCCAGCCCCCCGGGACACGTCTCCATCGTGGGCCCGTTTCCCTGTGGACAATATCTCAGGACACCCTTGCACAGTCGGACACACTTTAGTGTTTAGGACTCAGAGAGATGTGAGGGGAGAAGCCACGAGGCCCCAGCTTTGACTTGCGGCCCCGCAATGGACAGAAGTCGAGGCCCCTCTGTGTCGACAGGGGTGCAGAGGGACAGGAGGGAGCAGGGAGGGACGGAGAGAGCAAACAAGCAACGCCAAGTGCCAAGCGTTCCCCAGAGTCCCTGGGTCCCGCTCTGACCCTCCGACGCCCCCTTCAGCTTCCCCACTTCATCGCTATGGCAGCCTGGGGCCGGAGAGGAGCCCTGAGCACCGGAGGAAAGGCCCATCCCTGCTCCTGTCACCGGTGGTGGCTGGGAAGCCACTCGCCTGCCCCCCGGAGCTGCCCAGCCCACCCGGTCCTGTTCCGCCTCTCGCCCCTGGGGCCTGGGAGTCTGTGGGGGCCTGAGTATCGCACAGGGCGGGGGAGGGGGCTGCTTACTAGTTCCGTGTGGCTGGGCCTGCTGCTCACGGATGAGGCCACGGAGCTCACGGAGCTGAGCGAGGAGGCCGACGGGCGGCGCTTCAGGCTGGCGGGGGTGGTGGCCATCACACGCCTCGCGGGGGCCGCCTTGGCCTTGGCCGGCGTCGTGGAGGGGAAGCCGATCTTGGTGACTTTGTGAATGGGAGCAAACAAGCCGTACTTGGGCTGACACTGGAAGTACCTGCGGACAACGAGGAGGGGGGGACAAAAGACACCTTTGGCAAGAGAGACAGGCGCCGACCGCGGAGTCCACTGAGTCCCACAGTCTCACACCCCCACAAACTAACACGCTCCCACAGCCCCACACTCCCACACAGTCACACCCCAACCAACTCTCCCACACTCTCACACTCCCACTCACCCCAACAAACACACTCACACCCCAACCAACACTCCCACATTTCCACAGCCCCACACTCACATACACTCACTCCCCAACAAACACACACACTCACACACCCCAACCAACACTCCCACACACTCACGCCAACCAACACACACTCACACTCACACCCCAACCAAGACTCCCACATTTCCACAGCCCCACACTCACACACACTCACACCCCAACAAACACTCCCACACTCTCACACTCCCACTCACCCCAACAAACACACTCACACCCCAACCAACACTCCCACATTTCCACAGCCCCACACTCACATACACTCACTCCCCAACAAACACTCCCAGACTCACCCGAAGAAACACACACACTCACATCGCAACCAACACTCCCACACTCTCACACTTCCACCAAAACAAACACTCACATTCACACCCAAACCAACACTCCCACACTCCCACAAACTCAAACCCCAACACACACACACACTCACACCCCAACAAACACTCCCACATGCTCACAGCCGCCCCACACTCGCACACACTCACTCCCCTAGAAACACCCATTCACACACAACCAACACTCCCACACACTCACACCCCAACCAACACACACTCACACCCCAACAAACACTCCCAGACTCACCCCAAGAAACACACACACTGACATCGCAAACAATACTCCCACACTCTCACACTTCCACCCCAACAAATACACACACTCACACCCCAACAAACACTCCCACATTTCCAGAGCCCCACACTCACACACACTCACTCCCCAACAAACACTCATACCCTCCCACAGCCCCACACTCACACATACTCAAACCCCAACTAACACACACTTACACCCCAACCAACACTCCCAAACACTCTCACCCCAATAAACACTCCCACACTCACCCCAAGAAACACACACACTCACACCCCAACCAACACTCCCACACTCTCACACTCCCACCCCAACATACACACACTCAGAGCACAACAAACACACCCACATTTCCACAGCCCCAAACTCACACACACTCACTCCCCATCAAGCACTCATACCCTCCCACAGCCCCACACTCACACACTCACACCCCAACTAACACACACACTCACACCCCAACCGATATTCCCGCACTCCTACACACTCACACCCCAACCAACACTCCCACAGCCCCACACTCACACACTCACATCCCAACTAACACACACACTCACACCCCAACCGATATTCCCACACTCCTACACACTCACACACCAACCAACACTCCCACAGCCCCACACTCACACACTCACACCCCAACTAACATACACACTCACACCCCAACCGATATTCCCACGCTCCCACACACTCACACCCCAACCAACACTCCCACAATCCCAACGTCCCACACTCACACTCACACTCACACCCCAAAAAAAACACACTTACACTCAAACCCCAACAAACACTCCCACACTCCCACAGCCCCAGTCACACACACGCACACCCAACCAACACTTGCACGCTCTCAAACCAACAATGACACGCTCTCATTCCCTCACAAACATGCTCACACCCCCAACAACACTCACATGCTCATGCCCTCACCAACATTCACAGCCCCACACTCACACGCTCACATACACACACCCTCCTACATACATATCCACACTCCGAAGCACACACATTCATACATTCACACACACACTCCCTCGCACGCCTCCCACCCCCACCGCGCAAACCAAGGGCGATTCCAAGCAGCCTCCCCGGCATCTGAAGGGCGACAGCAGGCCCGGGGGTTCCTGCGGGCAAGCACAGCTGCATGTGGGAGCCCCAGGCTGTCCCCACATCCCTGCAGGGTCCCCGAGTGCCACCGGAAGTGGCCCCGCCTAAGAACCAAGTGAAGTGGCCTGCAGTCTCCTCAGCGCCTCCCGGGCACCGTGCATTGCCCCAGGCTGTCTGGGGGGGGCAGGAGGACCCACCTCGTTCCGGCCACGGCGCCATCGTTCTTGCCCAGCGGCTTGTCCAGCTCCACGCCGCACCAATCCCCCTTGGCGAAGTCCGTCTCCCCGAGGAAGCGCACCACACCGGCCTCCACGCCTCCCACCTGCCAGAGGGACGCGGGTCAGGCACTCTGGACTGCGCAAAGCGCCCCCACCCCCGCGAAGGAACATTCTGGCTTCAGAGTAGGGATTTCCGGAAGAAACCCCAAAGGTCAAGGTGCCATTTCCCCCTGCAACCCCTACAGGGTGAGCAGACGCTGCTGCTCAGTGTCCATGCAAGGCAGCGGCGTTCACACCCACTCGCTTACACCGGTGGCCTGGCTGACCACACCCCTGGGAATCTCTGACCCAGGCCAGCCACCTGGTGTGGCGAGGGGGTCGCTGCCCCGTGGGTGTGGGAGCAGAGCCGTGGCAACCCCACCGCTGGAGAACAATTAAGCCAGAAACCAGCTAGAGGAAAATGACTGTTCTCATATCTTAGCGGAGTTCGATTTTCCAGTTCTCCTTCACTATGCCTTGGCTTGATGCTTGGCCCCCGGGACGCAGAGCAAAACAGAATCACAGCGCTGGACACCGACGGGAATGCTGACAAAAAGGGCCAGAGCACCGGGGGAAGGGCACTGGCTTTGTGTGTGGCCACCCTGGGTTCAATCTTCAGCACCCAAGATGGTCCCCCTAGCCCGCCAAGACTGATTCCTGAGTGCAAAGCCTGAGTGACCCATAAGCACTGCCAGGAGTGGCCCCAAAACCAAAAAGTCAAAACAGAAAGGGGGGGGGAGAGAGAGAGAGAGAGAGAGAGAGAGAGAGAGAGAGAGAGAGAGAGAGAGAGAGAGAGAGAGAGACCTCAACTAATAATGCCTGAGAGCGCGGTTTTCTTTTTTCGGGTCTGGGGCAGGACTGGGTTCACGTGCTCGGGGGTCACTCGCAGCACGAGGGGTAGCAGCGTCACCCAGGACTGTCTCTGTGAGTCCTGAAGTGCCATGTGCAAAGGCCCTGGCACAGCCTCCGTGGCCAGGCGTGGGCCCTGGGCACTGTGAGTGTGACAAGGAATAAAAGAACAAGAGACAGGTGGCTGGGGTGGCGGCCCTGGGCTGAGAAGAGGCTGCAAAGTTCATCGGCGAAGAATTTGGCACAGAACATGCCGTCCCTGACCCGGAAACAGCCTCCTGGAACAGCACAGCTGGAAGCCAGTCACGTCTCTCAAGACCCTGACTTCATATCCTGGAAATATCATCTGCCCAAAACTGCCGCAAGCCTGTCTCCAGAACATTCTGTCAGAGCTCAGCTGGAGAGAAGGGAAGTGATCTCCCAAGGTCAGGAGAACCACCGCACATCAGCCCGGAGAAGCTCTTCACGGTTGGGCTCTGAGACGCCACAGGACGGACAGAGTGACCTCCCGCTCTGAGACACCATAAGACTGACTGTCCCGCTCTGCGACCCCTGCCTACTTGCGAGCACAGACGGGACTTGAGGTCAGAGCTGGGCATTTCCAGTGAGCCCACTGAGGGTCCCTGAGTCTCCAGAGAGGACCAAAGTAGCACAAGCATGGGGGCAGTCTGTCCACTGCCACTGACAGGGAGTGCCAGGGGCAGGGGACCGCCTTCCACAGGCCTAAGGCTGGAACAGCCGTCTCAGAGCCTCCGAAGGGCTCCTCCGAGGTCAGTCACGTAAACATCGGGGCCAGCTGGCGCAGAACCTGGACTTCCTGTGTGCAGGGAAGAATGGGGCAAAGGGCAGGAGGCCCTTTGGAGAGCCGGGAGGGCGCCAGCCCTGCACGGGAGCTTCGCCTCAGTGCCCCGAGGCCAGCCCCCACTCGCCACGGCCTCCTGACCACGGCTGCGTTAGGCCGTGGAGCGCCAAGCAAACCTTCCTTGAATTAGGAAAAAGACCAAAGAAAGTGTTTGGGTTTTCTTTTTTCCCCCTTCTTCTTTCAGAAAACAGCCATTATGCTGGTTGTGGTCCCCCAAAAAAACCCTCAAAAACTTCATTTTGAAAGGCGTGCTCGAGCTGAGGTATGGAGCGATGGAACAGCACAGCGGGCAGGGCGTTGGCCTTGCACACACCTGCCCGGATGTGGTCCCTGAGCACAGGGCCAGGACTCAGCCCTGAGCACCACCACCAATAAATGAATAACTGATCAGAGTTATTCACCGCAGAGCCAGTGGCAGTGTCCCCGCTCCCTTGTTCCAACGACACTAGTGTCCCTATGTCCGGGTGTGGACGGTTGTGAATGCAAGTTAAAAAAAAAAAGTCTTTTTTCTTCTTTGGGTCTTTGGGTCACACCTGGCGATGCTGAGGGGTGAGTCGTGGCTCTGCATTCAGGAATCATTCCTGCGATGCTTAGGGGACCCTTTGGGGTACCGGGGAACCCAGTTTGCTGAGTGCAAGGCAAACGCCCTCTCTGCTGTACTACTGCTCCAGCCCCCCAAACAGTCTTTAAACCGTGAGTCTCCTCCAGCTCCAATTCCCTCCCCGTGTTACTCTTTGGCCATCCCTGAACCCTGACCGTGACCCTCCAGGACCCTCCGAGGGCCACCCTGCGCCTGCACAGCTCTCCTCTCCGGCCTCCACAGCTCTGACACCGGCCTGGCGATGGCCATCCCTGTGGTCCCCGGGAAGCCACTGGCTCCGGGCCAGCCCCCAGTCTGTCTGGTCAGAGCCGCCCGCCTCAGACGTCCCCGAGGTGACTTTTCCCGGCCGCTTCCCACAGGTTCTGAAAGCGTTATTGAGTGCTTCTGCTGGGGGAGAACAGTTGTCTACAGCCAAGCGCCTCTGCTTAGGGGAGCTGTGCAGAGGAATGGGCTTGGGGTGGACTGAGGATGCCATGTGCAGGGACCTGGTGACCCCCACCAGAAACTCATCTTACAAAGGGTGCCCCCTCGCCCCCACCGAAGGCCTTCCAGGAGCTGCTCAGAGAAACCCAAGAGCAGGTGCTGAGTCTGAAGATCGAGCAACCAAGACAGCAAAACATACTCCTGAGAATGTTCCGGAGACGGGTCCCTACCCGTGGCCTACCCAGGGTCCATCCCCGACACCCCAGATGGTCCCCTGAGCCCTACCAGATCCCTGAGTTCAGCACCAGGAGGAAGCCCTGAGCATGGCCAGGTGTGGCCCAAACACCAAACCACACACGTCTGGAGAGACGGCTCAGGGCTTGCGCACGGAATGGCCTGGAGCGGCTCGGGGTGAGCCCTGTGACGCCCCAAACACAAACATCACAAACCAGAGCAATGGAACCGATTTCCAACTTTGTTCGTTGGTTTGTTTTTTGAGTCACAGTCAGAGTGCTCAGGGCTTACTTCTGGCTTGGTGCTCAGGGATCACTCCGGGATGTGCTTGGGGGACTGTACATGGGACCAAGACTTAAACCCCGGGTCAGAGGCATCCAAAGCACACGGCCTCCCCACGGCATGACCCCTCCACCCTGTTTTGGCTAAACTGGTAAAACTGGCAGCATCCCCGCACGCATCCATCACGCTGGAAACTGCAGGACCAGGTGTCCTGGCTGCTCGTGCTTCCACCCAAACCGCGAGTCTGGGAAAGCTGATGGACCAGACAGGCGAATGGACACCCACCCGCGACCGCTGCCCTCGGCACTCACCAGCACCCGGTCCCCGAGCTTCAGCTCCTGCTCCCCGTTCTTGAGGGAGCCAGCCTCCGAGAGGTTGGAGATGGACTCGCTGGCCGTCCTGGTCAGGTTGCTGATGTGAGGGGTGGCCGGTGCCTCCTTCGCGGAGGGCTGGGGTGCCTTCGGGGCGGCCGCAGGGGCCGGGGCGGCCGACAGGGGCGGTGTGGCCTGGGCAGCAGGCGCTGGCTGCAGGCCGTTGGTCTCATCGTCGGCCTGCCAGCTCCTGCTCAGCTTGGACGGCCGGATGAAGATGCCCTTCAGCGGCTCGCACTGGAAGTAGCGCACACCCGCCACCGAGCCGTCGTTCTTGCCGATGGGCTCGTCCAAGACGATCCCGGCCCACTGACCAGGGGCAAACTGGGTCTCCCCGAGGAACTGGATGAATCCAGGCTTGTTCCCCTTCACCCAGACTCGTTCCCCGACCTGGAAGTCGTCCACAAACTCCTCCTGCGTCTCCGAGGAGGGGGCGCTGGGGGTTTTCTCCCCAGGCACGGACTTCTCAACGGGAGCAGCCGCTGGAACAGCAGAAAGGGTCAGAAGGGTCAGAAGGGTCAGGAAGGGCCTGTCCAGGTCCAGTTAAAGTGTGGTTGGGGGTGGCCACACCCAGCAGTGCTTGGGACTACTCCCAGCCAATGCCGGGGGCTGCTTGTGGTGAAGCCTGGCCGGGCCCGCCGTGAAGGGGACGTGCCTACCTACTGCAGCATCCCAGGCCACAGTCATATTTGGGCAGCTGAGGGGAAATCTTTGGACACACCCCGTGATGCTACGGACCAAGCCAGGCGAAAGCTCCAACCCAGTGTCTTATTTCTGCTGTGTCCACTGGCCCATCTTCTTTTTCTTTTAGGGGGGGAGCACTCCAGCCAGTCCGCAGGGCCTATTTCTGGCTCTGCGCTCAGGGTCACTCATGTGAGGTTGAGGCTGGAGAGTCACATGGGGTGCCGGTTGCCCTCCCCACTGTACTGTGGCTACGGCCGGCAATGAGGCCCTTTAGTCCAGGTGAGTCCACCTCCCTCAGCCTGTCCCCAAGCCCGGGCGAGGGGGCTAGCAGTTAGGAGGGAGCGTGTTGGTCGCCTCAGCTGTCACCAGTTGCCGTGACACAAAAGTCACAGAACGTGAGACTCGTGTGTGAGAGCTGTCCCCAGAGCCATGAACGTGCCTACAGCTCAGGGAGCCCTTCCCGGGCGAGGACTCGGGAGGGGGTTCCCGGGTGGAAATGAGTCTCCCCTGGCCCGGGCTGAGCGCACTTACCGGCCGAGGGCGCCTTCAGGGCCCAGCTCCCATGCTTGAGGATCTTGGTGGGGGCCTTCAGCCCGCTGGGCCTCAGCAGACTCATGGTCAGGTGGTCAGACGCTGCCGCGGCCACTACCGGGCCCTGACTGTCGAGCCCACTGTGGGGCCTTCTGAGGCGCACTCGTTCTCAGGGATAAATCTCTGAAGAGCAGAGGAGAGAGTCTGTCTCACGGGAGCGACCACAGCAGCTTCCGGAGCCCAGAGAGCTGCCAGTCTGAGACTCGCCACCCCGAGTGCGACCCCCAGCCTCCCGCACAGCCCCCTGAGCCCACCAAGTGTCATTCCTGCACAAAAACTCAATCCCAAACAGACAAACAAACAACAGCAGATTCAGGGCCAGAGGGCAGAGGGGACAGGTACTTGCCCTGCGGGCAGCTGACCCTCACGCCCTCCCTGGCATCACACCCACCCCCAAACACATTCAGGAGCCAGAAATCGTCCCTGTGCACTGTGAGTGCCACTGACCACCTTCCCGTCCAGACACTGACTAGCTGGGAGGCGACTCAGCAGTGATGGCTGGTCTTGTGTGTGCATGTGTGCGTATGTATGTGTGTGAGAGGCCCGGGGTTACACACAGAAGCTAAGGCAAGCAACAGGCACACTTTTTTCTATGGGCTGAGAAGTGCCAGGGAAAAGGGCCCAGCAAGACTGCGCCAAAGGGGGGCTGGAGAGCGATAGCACAGTGGGTAGGGCGTTTGCCTTGCACGTGGCCGACCCAGGTTCGATTCCCAGCATCCCATATGGTCCCCTGAGCACTGCCAGGACTGATTCCTGAGTGCAGACCCAGGAGTAAATCCTGTGCATCACCAGGTGCGACCCAAAAAGAAAAAAAATTGCGCCAAAGGGGAGCGAAGGAGGTTTTGGCGTTTCCTTCGTTCCTTGTGACGGTGCCCAAGTTTGATAACCACAAGCCAGTATTAACTGCATTTCTTAACCCACAGAACTGAGGCAGACATGTGGATGGGGGAAGCATCGCCATGGCAATGGAACTCCGAGGAAGTCAACAATAGCTTCATGGCCACCAAAAGACCACCTGAGGGCACGGGACCCAAGGTCTGGTCAAAATTAACCCACATTAGGAGGCCCAGAGCAGGCTGGACCCCCCGAGGGAATAGGAACAAAGGCCAGGAAAGGAATTTCTAAGAGGACCTTGGACCACTCAACTCTACCCCCTTGGCAACCACCCTAGCAACGGACTCTAGGTAGCTAGAAACTCCCACCAGGGGCAGCCTGGGGAAAACCCGAGATTAGCCCCCTTGAACCAAGGGAGGGCGCTCATGCGTGCCCGAGCCCAGGGACTGCTCTTGCCTACGAGGTCGGTCATGTCACGGGCTTCTCCCCTCCTGAGGTGTGGACTTTCGGACCGAACGCAACCAGGCAACCTAACGTGTTCAGTGGCTTTCTG